GCTTGAAAGCGCGCGATTCACCAGTTGGGAATAAACTTTATCATCATTATACTTTAAAATCCATGCTGACCTCCCTGTACCAGAACGGTCTTTGCTCTCGACAAACACCCAGCGCCCTTCACAACAACCTATCGACTGTTAGCTTCAATACGAATTGGCCGACCAGACCGTGGAGTTCCACTGCCTCTTCAGATCCGCTGTTCTGGTTCCGCACTTTCTACAGTTTGAATTATTTTAATCACGAACCTGGCAGGAAGCCTCTTGTTGTTCCCTCACTCTCTGTGGTTCTGCCCGCCACTTTCAACTCTCAACGATCTGGTCTCGACTCATCTGACATTTTCCCGATGAGAACGAAAGAGCATTTGTAATTTTGGCTCCCTACCCACCCCAGATTACCCGTGACCAAGTCTACATCGGATGTTGCACGATGTTTGCGTCACTGTCCCTTTTTCGAGAAAATTCCAGTACCCATGAACCTCACCAGTCGTGCTTTCATTCTGACTGTAACATTATGTTCATGCTTGGAAGCGTGCGATTCACCAGTTGGGAATAAACTTTATCATCATTATACTTTAAAATCCATGCTGACCTCCCTGTACCAGAACGGTCTTTGCTCTCGACAAACACCCAGCGCCCTTCCCAACAACCTATCGACTGTTTTTCTCATCGTTTCTCTCATAGAACTTAATAACCCCGGTATCTTTCGCCATGTTAATGTGCCGAAAACCGCGGATACCAAAATGCACCCTGCTGGCGGAGAATATCGGAATTTCAACGATTTCTCATTAACAGATTTCTTCAGTAATCTCTCAACTAAGCGAGACTCTTTGCGGGTATCTATCGAATGTCGTAACGAGAGCGACGCTCTCGGGGCACCTTCTCACTCTAAATTACTCGCTTGCCTGTTCCATGGGCGCTTTCGTCCAGGAAGTCGCTCAGATTATTAACTTCGGCCCACCGAAGGTTACCATGACAGACGATCCTGTTTGTATAACCAGGTACATAAACACCCATGTTGCTAGCTGCCATTCGCCTATTCCTCCCAGACTTAAACACGGAAACCCCTGCAACACATTCGATATTTCCACATCGCTGTAGCCACACGCCTTCCGGAACGTAACCATTACTTGGTTGATGTTTCTATTCTTCTTCAAAACCGTAAGGGCTTCGCCGCTCCGGTGGCTGTGACCAACTATCTCATGTCCTAAAACGTGGCCGTCAGGATGTCGGAGACCTTGTCCTTAATATGGTAAAAGGCTCAATAACCAGATACTTCCAAACTACTGATGCCACAGTAGGGAATCCAGTTGTCATGATTCCCACGCGGCTTAAAACTTCACCTGTTGAAGACCATCACAGCAAACTAGAGAAATTGATTACCTTTGTCTCTGATACTGAACACCTTTGGCTTCTTCCACAAATCCAGTTCTAGGTCGCCGGAGCACGTAAGCTTTGCTTTCCAGTATGATTATTCTTCCATCTTCGAGATGCGAAGGTGGCAGCTTTTTAAACATGCACACGACCGATCTTTTATTCTCTCCCTCCATACCAAAAGATGTGGACAGGCACTTGATGGCATCCAGGGCTCAGCCACCAAAAATTTGTTTCCACGGTCCAGACCTTGCTCTTACCACACTCACTGCATAATATTTGGCCTTAAACCACTATGGCTCATATGTTTTATTCTGAACAGGAGTTCTCTTGCACCATCTGCTCCACCAAAATTCATTTGTACCATAGGCGAGACCGGACGAAACTCCACATCCTCGCTACAGATTCCGCAAACCCAGCCGGTTTTCGTTTGCCCACCTGTTCATATTAACCTGGGTCATTACTTCTTCCTAGTTTATTTTGTTCGCATCTAAAACATCCTTTGAAAACGACTGCGAAATAACATACACCATTATATTTTTCGCAAGCCGTAAGTAACTCCCTTTTTTGTGAACCTGCTGCTGCCCTGCTCATTACCCAACTACCACCCAGTTCTCTCCAACGCATATGAGTTCAACAATGATACATCCGCTGGGCAATTAAAAATGTTACGCGATCTCCCAGACTTCCCTCAAACCACGGTGGTCTGTCGAATGACTGTTTGATCTGTGCGTGTTGTGTTCCCGGCCTGGTTTGTCCTTATGCAAATTATACCTCGTTCTAGCCAAGTTTCCACCCTGGATTATTGTCAGCTCCGTCCAGCGACTAATGAGCTCTCTCACCAAGCTCTTAAAACATAAAGCAAATTGAAGTCAGTGTTTTTTACTACTGAAGCGCGTTGCACGCCAAAATTATACCCCTCTGATGATGTTCAATTAATGGGATTCGTGGATGGCTTCAAGGTCCACTGAGCATGGACACTAAAAATTGCGTTGATATGAGCTGCCATGCTTGGCATGGTACCTTGGCGTGGTAGCTTCCTCCGAACGACGAAAAGTGGGACCACATATAATTTAGAGAAGACTCAGCAAGTACTTTTGAGACCCACGGACTGAGAAACATTACGAGGATAGATATCAAAGAGGATTTATTATCTGGCTCTATTCAAACATATCCTTCTCAGTGTACCATGGAAAATCGGTCCAAGAGGCATTTGCGATTGCACGGACGGACCGGTGCAACATCCTGCGTGTTCTTCACATGGACTTAAACAAAGCTTGTGGGGACCACGTCGAGCCGCTTCTTGACTATTCCAATCAGGTTTTCTACTCAGGAAGCAAGACTTAACCCCCCTTAAGCGTGTCCAACGGACTTTAATCCGGGGATTATGAAACGCGTCCTGCGGTGATTGACTTCTCTCCCTTGGAGTACCGTTGCCTCCGAGGAGACCCAACACTATCTTATGCCCTGTTAGAACACGGGCCAGCCAGAAGATTCTTACTATTGAACCAACTGACAGGCGGGGAGGATATGGTACGAGGCTTTTCCTGTTCTGAGCGAACGCATTTATTTGACAAAGATTTGTCACCTTCCGGGTAGCCAGGGCATGGTAAAGCCTTCCTCCGACGATTGTTCACGCTACATCTATCGCCCGGTTCAGAGCGTTTTTGGACGCTTTTTTGTGAATCCTCGCTGGGCAGCTTACTACCCCACGCTGAGAACTTAAAAAGCGGTGCTATACCATTTTTTCGCTTATGTCTTTCATATGAGTGGAAGCTAATGAATGACAGGAACAAACCCAACCCGGGAAGCATGGGATAAAGCCTCGATCCTGTGTATCAATCCGCGTAAAACCCTAGTTCAACTTATTTTTGTTTGTTTTTTATTTGCCGCAGAGCTGGTAAACATACAGTCCATCACAGTAGTGCCATGTATTTTTTTCGCTCTTGCCTCCCAGGTGAACAGGATCCACTGCATGACGAAGCTTGGACAGAATCCTCGTTCCTGTGATCAGCGTCTTCGTCACATCCACTCTTGTCAAGGCGGAACTACGAACAGCCTCTAACCGACTTGGTCTTCACGGTGGAGGACATTCGTCAACTCTTGCACAAGATCAACCCATTTTGCGTGTTAGGGCCCGACGAGATCCATCCAAGGATCCTGAAGGAAACGTCCTCCACACTGGCAAATCATTTATATTTAGTGTTTTTCAGTCGATTTACGAAGGCCGCCTTCCCTCTGGCTGGAAGGAAGCGATTGTCACGCTAATCCACAAAACTGGTGACCGACTATCGCCTGGCAGCCACAGGCCTATAAGCCCCACCAGCGTGCCATGCAAGGTGATGGAACCCGTTCTGAAGCGAACTATTCTGGAGCACCTTACTTCCAGCAATCTGATATCTCCAGCTCAACACGGATTTCTCCCAAACCGTTCTTGCGTGACAAACATGCTCGTGTTTATGGACAGCTTAACCCAAGCCAAGGACGAAGGACTCATATCGGATGCCATATT